CTGGCCATGACCTCCAGGTGGTCCTTCCTTTGGACACACAGAACAGAGGACAGAGTGAGACAGACAGGTGCGCACCGGTCTCCACGGTGACGCAGACGGGTGCGCACCGGTCTCCACGGTGACGCAGACAGGTGCGCGCCCGTCTTCAGACAGGGACCACAACACTGGGACTATACAGAACGCCACGGAGATGTGTTTCTTTGCCTTGAATGTTCCGCAGTACGTCATTAAACACGACTGTCAAGGCCTAACTACAGGTCAGATCTACGGAGCGGCGACCCTGCTCACCCTAAGACTGTATGTATTTTCAGGATTAAATCACTTGTATTTGTATAAATGCAGTATAGATTCATGTAATGTCGTACCGTGGAACATTTCAGGCAAAGAAACGGTATCTCCATGGAGACAAAGAGGCGGCTGACCCCCTCACCAGAAATGTTACGTAGTGCGTCTTTAAATGTCCTGTATTATGCAAAATGGACTCTTGTTGGACGCTTTAAATTATTAAATTGTTTAGATCAGGTTTAGTCCAGGTTTGGTCCAGGTTTAGTTCAAGTTTAGTCCAAGTTTAAGTTAAGGTTTAGTCCAGGTTTAGTCCAGGTTTAGTTCAAGTTTAGTTCAAGTTTAGTCCAGGTTTAGTCCAAGTTAAGTCCAGGTTTAGTCCAGGTTTAGTTCAAGTTTAGTTCAAGTTTAGTCCAAGTTTAGTCCAAGTTTAGTCCAGGTGTAGTCCAGGTTTAGTCCAGGTTTAGTCCAGGTTTAGCCCAAGTTTAGTCCAGGTTTAGTCCAGGTTTAGTCCAGGGTTTAGTCCAGGTTTAGTCCAGGTTTAGTCCAGGTTTAGCCCATGTTTAGTCCAGGTTTAGTCCAGGGTTAGTCCAGGTTTAGTCCAAGTTTAGTCCAAGTTTAGTCCAAGTTTAGTCCAGGTTTAGTCCAGGTTTAGACCAGATTTAGTCCAGGTTTAGTCCAGGGTTAGTCCAGGTTTAGTCCAAGTTTAGTCCAAGTTTAGTCCAAGTTTAGTCCAGGTTTAGTCCAGGTTTAGACCAGGTGTAGTCCAGGTTTAGACCAGGTTTAGACCAGATTTAGTCCAGGTTTAGACCAGGTTTAGTCCAGGTTTACACCATGTTTAGACCAGATTTAGTCCTGGTTTAATCCAGGTTTAGTCCAAGTTTTGTCCAGTTTTAGTCCAGGTTTAGTCCAGGTTTAGACCAGGTTTAGTCCAGGTTTAGACCAGGTTTAGTCCAGGTTTAGTCCAGATTTAGTCCAAGTTTAGTCCAGGTGTAGTCCAGCAACTCAGAGCTCAGGTCAGAGCTCATGTTCTAAAGCTGTTATCTCCTCAAAAACAAAAACAGACCTGGAGTTGTGTTTTGTTTCATTCACACGTTTGACTTTATTATTTATCAGTCTGTCTACGTCTCCAAAGCTCAAAACGCTCTACTCCACCTTGTGATGTCATAAAGTGGTAGTTTTTTAAGATAACTTCTACTTGTGCCCTTTTGTTCAGAAGAGATCCAGGCCTAAAAATGAGACCCAAATGATTCTAGTGAAGGTGTGTGGAGTTTCAAAACAGTGGAGCGCTTCCTGTATCACCACATGACATCACAAGGTGGGACAGAGTGTTTTCTGTTTGAGAGAAGAACTAATATGTAATAAATCTGCAGAGTTTGTGTGAATGAAACAAAACACAACTCCAGGTCTGTTTGTGACGAGGAAATAAGATTATAACAGATCAGAAAATGACGTAATGGGCCCTTTAATTAAAAAATTAAATAAAATAAATAAATCCCGTCCCGTCCTGCACTCACATGTTAGTTTCTCAAACATGTCCGGGTTTACACTTGTCAGTTTTATAATATTGTCTGTAAAGTACTGACATAAGCAGTGAACATGTGAGAGCTTCGTGAGGGACTTGCCTGAAGCACGGCAGAGAGATGATGGTCTCGTAGAACCTCCAGGTGGCGATGAGGTCCTCCCTGATGGGGTTGGTGGAGTAATACCTCCAGGCGGACTGCAGAGAGAGGGCAGAGGTCAGAGGTCAGGGGTCAGAGGTGGCGCGGGGGTGAAAACGCCGCCCTCTCTCCGTCTCACCTGGATGAGTCCTGCCGCCGGGTGCCTGCGCTTCTCAAAGTGCTTCTGTCTGTGCTGCTCCTGCACCTTCAGAGCCAGACCCGAGCCCAGGATCCCCTGTGTTACCACGGCAACGCAACACACACACACACAGGACACGAGTCAGAAAACTCCACGACTAGAGTTAAACCTGACACTGACTGGGGGTTATTATCATTGGTTTATTCCAGGGGTCATCAAACGAGCCAACTCCGGTTCCCGAGTCCTTCTACCCCCACTACTTGCTCTATGTTAGTCTGACCAAATGTTTGTTTTTTCCCAGACATGTCAATTTTTTGCGTCCTGTCCTGAGCGTCTAGTTTTTTTTTTTTTAAGTGATAGAAATGTTTGGGTTTTCAGGACTGTTCATTGGGGCCGTTAAACTGAGCAGCTCTTGTAGCTCTCTGTGCGTCAGAAGGAGCGAGCAGACACAAACAGTCGTTCAGTCTGCAACACGCCGAAACACAAATGTATATTTAACAATGAATTGTACAAGAAATTCTCTGTTTTCGGGACAAGTGGGAGGCCGTGTGCACAGGTTGCGAGGCGTCCGGGTTTTCACAAACGGAGCTATGGTCACCCTACAGTATGTGGCAGTTCTCAAAAGTTGTCATGGCCTGTTTCTTAAAATTACTTTTTGGCAAATAAAAACACATCTGCATCTTGTATTTTGTAGATTTTTTTCAATTAAAAAATTCTATGTATAATGGTATTTATATTTGTATTTAAATAATTATATGACGTATTTACATTTGCAGCCGAATTTTCGTCACTTGACAAACTCGAGCTCAAACAGTGACAGTGAACGCACGTGTAGAGTTCTGTAGTGCAGTTAAGGACAGAAAAATGGCGAGTATTGTACAGTACAGTGGTACGTACGGAGAGAAAACAGCGCCAAGCGATTATGAGGTCTGACTTTTTTGGCGACGATGGTTTTGTGATGCAAATGTATCACTCTTTTGAACACATATTGCTTTGAGAAGAAAAACGCTTTAGTATACAGTCCCCACAGACAACTTGCCGAACTACTTTTCTCAATCCGTGTATCATTCGCTCATTCGTTTTTCAATATAAAACCAAAAATAAGAAAACGAAAAAACAACAGTTTTCTTTGTTATTTGTCTCCAAAACCAAAATGAAAAAACGGATAATGATTTGATTTTTTTCAGTTTTCGATTTTGTGTTTAAATGAAGAATGGAAAAAACGGATAACGGCCGTTTCCCGTTTACGTGACTTCCGTGACTGCGATGCCGAACTTTTGCACCGGGTACGGACTGAACCAGGACTGATCCAGGTCCGAGACCAGACCGGGACTAGAGCGGGACCAGAGCGGGACTGGGGCGAGACTGGGGCGGGACTGGGGCGGACTCCGAGCTTTGACTCTGAGCCTCCACGGGGTCCGAGCCTCAGCTTCGAGCTCCAGCCCTGCCGTGGGCTCTGAGCCTCCGATCTGGTCTCGGTCTTGTCTCTGTCTCAGGCCCGCTCTGGTCCCAGTCTGGTCCCGGTCTGGTCCCGGACCTGGTCCATTTGAACCAAAAGCTCTTAGTTCGGTTAGTTTTTGTTGGTGTGAAAGCGTCATTTGGATGCTTTGCACCACCTCGGAACCAGCCGCGGTTCTTGAGCGCGGAGGACTGGAGCAGCCCATCCGGACCTGTAGTCCACAGAACATTCTCACTTTCCCCGCACGGAACCAGCGCGGAGACAATGACACGGAACCGCTCGGACCGCTGGTCTCGGTCTCAGTTCCGCTCTGATCCCGCTCTGGTCCCGGTGTGGTCCCGGTCTCAGTTCCGCTCTGGTCTCGGTCTGGTCTCGGACCTGGATCAGTCCTGGTTCAGTCCGTACGCGGTGCAAAAGTTCGGCATCGCAGTCACGGAAGTCACATAAACGGGAAACGGCCGTTATCCGTTTTTTCCATTTTTCATTTAAACACAAAATCGAAAACTGAAAAAAAACGAATCATTATCCATTTTTTCATTTTGGTTTTGGAGACAAATAACGAAGAAAACTGTTGTTTTTTCGTTTTCTTATTTTTGGTTTTATATTGAAAAACGAATGAACGAATGATACACGGATTTTTCTCAGCACCAAAACGGGCCAGTATCTCGGCTCACCGGACGCTTTCTGGGGGTAAGTCGGTGTGGATGCACAACACTGATGACGGGGAGGCCATACAGATTTATGTCAAAAAATCCGAACTATCCCTTTAAAGTACGAAAAGTTGACAGAGATGCCGAGTTTTCAAAGAACAGTGGACGATTTATTATTTTTGTTCAGTGTTGGAGCATGCAGTTTGTCTCTCTGTAAAGAAAATGTGGCGTTTTTTTTTTATTCTGTTTATAAGGCTGAACCCCGACCCCCATCGCAGTCAGGAGAGATAATGTGGCCCCCAGAGAAAAAAGTTTGGTGATCCCTGGTTTGTTGTGTTGGGTTAGTACATCTTAAAGGTTGTATGGAGGATTTTTTTTTGTTTCAAACTGTCAGTGAAAGTTTAAAATACCATTACAGAGACGCAGCAGCTTCGTAATTATGATGACCAAAAAAAAAAAGAACGAAAATCTATCAACTGTGGACGTGTTGAGGCCAGATAAACATCAGCCAATAGAAAACGAGGCTCCCTCATTTTCTATTGGCTGTTCGGTTGTCAATCAAACTCCCTAGTATAACTGACTCGTCGGAGCGCGTGGATTACGGGGTTTACGCAGCGGTTCTTAGAGGCATTTTCGAACTGTCGCTTCCTCGCATTTCGCACAAAGTTTGTCGCGACGGCGGACGAGAATCCACGACCGGTTCGCCGCAAAAGAAAGTCCGTTTTTGAGGTCGCTGAAAGAAGAAGAGAAGAGGAAAAGGAGCAAAGCCAAACTGAGGTGATTCTTGGAGATCTCGTCCAGCGATGGCGATGATGAATTACTTCTAGACAGGAAACTTCAACAGTAATTTTTCTGAATGCGCACTCACCGCGGGCAGAGCGAAGAAGGACACTCCGATGAGCGCGAAGGTGCCGGCCAGCAGCCTCCCAGCCCACGTCTTTGGGGTCTTGTCTCCGTACCCGATGGTGGTCAGCGTGATCTGTCACACACGACAACAGAAACTCCTCAAGTTTTTTTTATCAAAGACACTTCAGGCTCAGAAGAGGTTTCCCCTCGTGTGGCCACAACAACACAAATAAGTAACTCTGTGTAGCTGACAGGGACAGTGTGGCAGGTTGTTCTTACCAGTCCCCACCAGAGGGCGTCGGCGTACGTGTCGAAGTCTTGCGTGCGAGGCTGCACCGTGCCCGCGTCGTCGTTGGGCATCTCCATGGAAACGTCGTCCTTTTCCACCAGGTAGACCAGGAAGGAGGCCAGGATCAGGGACAGGAAGCCGATGTACCAGGCCGTGATCAGCTCCTGAGGACAAACACGTGTCAGGAACTTCTACTGTTTAGTCCAGGTTTAGTTCATGTTTAGTCCAGGTTTAGTCCAGGTTTAGTCCAGGTTTAGTCCAGGTTTAGTCCAGGTTTAGTCCAGGTTTAGTTTAGGTTTAGTCCAGGTTTAGTCCAGGTTTAGTCCAGGTTTAGTCCAGGTTTAGTCCAGGTTTAGTCCAGGTTTAGTCCAGGTTTAGTCCAGGTTTAGTCCAGGTTTAGTCCAGGTTTAGTCCAGGTTTAGTCCAGGTTTAGTCCAGGTTTAGTCCGGGTTTAGTCCGGGTTTAGTCCGGGTTTAGTCCAGGTTTAGTCCGGGTTTAGTCCAGGTTTAGTCCGGGTTTAGTCCAGGTTTAGGGTTTAGTCCAGGGTTTAGTCCAGGTTTAGGTTTCCAGGTTTAGTCCAGGTTTAGTCCAGGTTTAGTCCAGGTTTAGTCCAGGTTTAGTCCGGGTTTAGTCCAGGTTTAGTCCAGGTTTAGTCCGGGTTTAGTCCGGGTTTAGTCCAGGTTTAGTCCAGGTTTAGTCCAGGTTTAGTCCAGGTTTAGTCCAGGTTTAGGTTTAGTCCAGGTTTAGTCCAGGTTTAGTCCAGGTTTAGTCCAGGTTTAGTCCGGGTTTAGTCCGGGTTTAGTCCGGTTTAGTCCAGGTTTAGTCCAGGTTTAGTCCAGGTTTAGTCCAGGTTTAGTCCGGGTTTAGTCCAGGTTTAGTCCAGGTTTAGTCCAGGTTTAGTCCAGGTTTAGTCCTTAGGTTTAGTCCGGGTTTCCAGGTTTAGTCCGGGTTTAGTCCAGGTTTAGTCCAGGTTTAGTCCAGGTTTAGGGTTTAGTCCAGGTTTAGTCCGGTTTAGGTTTAGTCCGGTTTAGGTTTAGTCCTAGGGTTTAGTCCAGGTTTAGTCCAGGTTTAGGGTTTAGTCCAGGTTTAGTCCAGTTTAGGGTTTAGTCCGGGTTTAGTCCAGGTTTAGTCCAGGTTTAGTCCAGGTTTAGTCCAGGTTTAGTCCAGGTTTTCCAGGTTTAGTCCAGGTTTAGTCCGGGTTTACCGGGTTTAGTCCAGGTTTCCAGGTTTAGTCCCGGTTTAGTCCGGGTTTAGTCCAGGTTTAGTCCGGGTTTAGTCCAGGTTTAGTCCGGTTTAGTCCGGGTTTAGTCCAGGTTTAGTCCGGGTTTAGTCCGGGTTTAGTCCGGGTTTAGTCCGGGTTTAGTCCGGGTTTAGTCCAGGTTTAGTCCGGGTTTAGTCCAGGTTTAGTCCAGGTTTAGTGGGTTTAGTCCAGGTTTAGTCCAGGTTTAGTCCAGGTTTAGTCCAGGTTTAGTCCAGGTTTAGTCCAGGTTTAGTCCAGGTTTAGTCCAGGTTTAGTCCAGGTTTAGTCCAGGTTTAGTCCGGGTTTAGTCCGGGTTTAGTCCAGGTTTAGTCCGGGTTTAGTCCGGGTTTAGTCCGGGTTTAGTCCGGGTTTAGTCCAGGTTTAGTCCGGGTTTAGTCCGGGTTTAGTCCAGGTTTAGTCCAGGTTTAGTCCAGGTTTAGTCCGGGTTTAGTCCGGGTTTAGTCCGGGTTTTAGTCCAGGTTTAGTCCAGGTTTTCCAGGTTTAGTCCAGGTTTAGTCCAGGTTTAGAGTCCAGGTTTAGTCCAGGTTTTAGTCCAGGTTTAGTCCAGGTTTTAGTCCGGGTTTAGTCCAGGTTTTAGTCCGGGTTTAGTCCGGGTTTAGTCCAGGTTTAGTCCGGGTTAGTCCAGGTTTAGTCCAGGTTTAGTCCGGGTTTAGTCCAGGTTTTAGTCCAGGGTTTTAGTCCGGGTTTAGGTTTACCAGGTTTAGTCCAGGTTTAGTCCAGGTTTAGTCCAGGTTTAGTCCAGGTTTAGTCCAGGTTTAGTCCAGGTTTTAGTCCGGGTTTTAGACCAGGTTTTAGTCCAGGTTTAGTTTAGTCCGGGTTTAGTCCAGGTTTAGTACCTTGCTGTGTGCATAGATGGCAGAGCCCAGCAGTTTCCAGGTGCCTCCCCGTCGGTCCATTCGGAGCATGCGCAGGATCTGCAGAAACCGCAGGCTCCGGAGGGACGTGGCCAGAACGTTTCCCTGGTTCCTGACGGCGACGACGGGAACCGACGCGATCAGCACGAAGATGTCTGACCACACACCACAGAAAATATGAAAAATCCTGCCTTAGTCCTGTTTTAGTCCTGCTTTAGTCCTGTTTAGTCCTGTTTAGTCTGTTTTAGTCCTGTTTTCCTGCTTTAGTCCTGTTTTAGTCCTGCTTTAGTCCTTTTCAGTCCTGTTTTAGTCCTGTTTTAGTCCTGCTATAGTTTGGTTTTAGTCCTGTTTTAGCCCTTTTTAGTCCTGCTTTAGTCTGGTTTTAGTCCTGTTTTTAGTCCTGCTTTAGTTGGTTTTAGTCCTGTTTTAGTCCTGCTTTAGTCCTGTTTAGTCCTGTTTCAGCCCTGTTTTAGTCCTGTTTAGTCCTGTTTTAGTCCTGTTTTAGTCCTGCTTTAGTCCTGTTTAGTCCTGCTTTAGTCCTTTTGTTTTAGTCCTGCTTTAGTCCTGTTTCAGTCCTGTTTTTAGTCCTGTTTTAGTCCTGTTTTAGTCCTGCTTTAGTTTGGTTTTAGTCCTGTTTTAGTCCTGCTTTAGTCCTGTTTTAGTTCTGCTTTTAGTCCTGTTTTAGTCCTGCTTTAGTCCTTTTTAGTCCTGTTTTAGTCCTGCTTTAGTTTGGTTTTAGTCCTGTTTTTAGTCCTGCTTTAGTCCTGTTTTAGTCCTGCTTTAGTTTGTTTTAGTCCTGTTTTAGTCCTGCTTTAGTTTGGTTTTAGTCCTGTTTTAGTCCTGCTTTAGTCCTGTTTTAGTCCTGTTTAGTCCTGCTTTAGTCCTGTTTCAGTCCTGCTTTAGTTTGGTTTTAGTCCTGTTTTAGTCCTGCTTTAGTCCTGTTTAGTCCTGTTTTAGTCCTGCTTTAGTCCTGTTTTAGTCCTGTTTTAGTCCTGTTTTAGTCCTGCTTTAGTCCTGCTTTAGTCCTGTTTTAGTCCTGTTTTAGTCCTGCTTTAGTTTGGTTTTAGTCCTGTTTTTAGTCCTGCTTTAGTCCTGTTTTAGTCCTGTTTTAGTCCTGTTTTAGTCCTGTTTCAGTCCTGTTTTAGTCCTGTTTTAGTCCTGTTTTAGTCCTGTTTTAGTCCTGTTTTAGTCCTGTTTCAGTCCTGTTTTAGTCCTGTTTCAGTCCTGTTTTAGTCCTGTTCAGTCCTGTTTTAGTCCTGCTTTAGTCCTGCTTTAGTCCTGTTTTAGTCCTGTTTTAGTCCTGCTGTTTTAGTCCTGTTTTGTCCTGTTTCAGTCCTGTTTTTAGTCCTTTAGTCCTGTTTTAGTCCTGTTTCAGTCCTGTTTTAGTCCTGTTTTAGTCCTGTTTCAGTCCTGTTTTAGTCCTGTTTTAGTCCTGTTTCAGTCCTGTTTTAGTCCTGCTTTAGTCCTGCTGTATTTACCCAGGATACATAGTGGTTTGCGTGCGAACTTGAGTCTTCCTCTCCAGCCTTTGTAGCGACAGCAGCAGCCCGCCGCCCAGATCCTCAGAGCAAACTCCGCCCCGAAAATAAAGATGGCGCCCGTTTCCTGGAGAGGGACGCAACTGGGAGTCCTGCACCAGATCGGGTCTTGTTCTCGAGTGGAGGATGGAGCGTGAGGTGGATCGGTGCAGTGCAGTGAATCGGACCTTTGTGGTGAAAGAGCTGAGTTGAAAAGGCAAAGCTCCTGAATTACTGTCAGTCTTTGTTCCTCCCCTCACCTCTGGTCATGAGCTCTGGGTAATGACCGAAAGGACGAGATCGTGGATATAAGAGGTCCAAAATTATTTCCTCCGCAGGGTGTCTGGGCGCTCCCTTAGAGACAGGGTGAGGAGCTCAGTCACACGGGAGGAGCTCGGAGTAGAGCCGCTGCTCCTCCACGTCGAGAGGAGCAGCTGAGGGGAGGGCATCTGTTCCGGTTGTCTCTTGTGCGCCTCCCTCAGGAGATGTTCTGGGCATGTCCCATCGGGAGGAGGCCCCGAGGAAGACCCAGGACACACTGGAGTGACTAAAGCTACGTTCAGACTGCAGGGCTTAACGCTCAATTCAGATTTTTTTTGTGAAATCCGATGTTTTTGCGAGGTCGTTCACATTTCCAATTAAATGTGACTTGTATGTGACTCCAGTGTGAACATTAAACGACCCAAAAGTGTCCCGCATGTGCACTGGAGACACGACGACGTCAACCGCAGCGAGCGTCTCTGTGTTTACGGAAGTTGTCCAAACATGGACGCAGCATCGAGCACCTGGAGATTTTAAAGTTCCTCTCGTACCGGAGCCAGAACATGAACAACTTACTTGTTTTAAGGAGGAGATTGAGAAGGAGAAGGACGAGGTTTTTTGGCCGTGGTGTTTTGTGGTTCAGTCCGTTGAAAGGAACGTGTGGATGTGGAGACGGAGCCAAGAGTGGTGAGTGGTGATGTGCTTCACTTCAGTGACACGGAGTTCATTAACAATTTTCGCCTACTTCAGTGCAGAATAGTGACGTTTGTGGCTTGTTGATAACGTGTAGGTGGATGAATGCACTTTGTCCAGACTGAAGTCGCATGTCAAAAGATCAGATATGTATCGGTTTTAGGAGCACATATCCAAGTGTCCTGGGTCACATTTGAAAAAATCGGATCTGTGTCATTCAGACTGACATTAAAAGATCAAATACAGGAACATAGGGGCCAAAAAATCGGATTTGGGTCACTTCAGGCTGCAGGCTGAACACAGCCTGTGTCTCTTGGCTGGCCTGGGAACACCTTGGATTCGTAGGAGCTGGAGGAAGTGTCTGAGGTGAAGGAAGTCTGGGAGTCCCTGCTTAGACTGCTGCCCCCGCGACCCGGCCCCGGATAAGCGGAAGAAAATGGATGGATGGAAAATAATTAAACTAAGTAATAAGGAACAAACCTCCACAAACAGTTGTCGTCAGAGATGCTTAAAACGAGTCTCGCAATGATTTTTAAACTTGGCGCAGGGTTTTTACCTATGATATAACAATCCTGTAAAAACGCAAAGAAAGTAAAACATGAGGACAGATTTACTCCACAAGATTCATCAAACAGCGTGAATGAAGCTAAATACACCTCAGGTACGTGTGGTCTTGGAATCGTTTACGGAAAGATCTTGAATTAGAATCTGCGGTGTCACCTGATGAGTTCAACAAAAAAAAAAAAAAAAAAAAAAGTGTGGTGACCGAGAAGTGTGTGTTTTTCTTCTGAGATGCAAATTGTTTTATATGTTTTTTTGTACTTTAGGGATGTTATAAAATCCAAATCTCTCAATACCATATTCTCATGATATCCAGATCTTTATTGTGTTTTTGTATTTTTCCCCCAAAATTATGATTTCAAATTGCTTCATAACATGTAGATGGACTGAAGCAGAGCAAAGCATCATGGTCTATGTCAGGGGTGTCCAAACTATTTTCATCAAGGGCCACATATGTAAACACAGACGAAGCAGAGGGCCGATCGAGGGCCGTAGACTGATGCTCAGTACAGTGAATAACTGAAATATGTTCATGTTTAACACATTAGAATGAGTCTTTATTCATTCAAGATCCTCAAAACCAAACACGAAATATTAAATATTGGCTTTATCGAGGTAGATTTTAAAAAAAAAAAAACTTGCAATAAAAAGTAAATTTTTCATTGATGCAACGTAATTTGGGCCAAGAAAAATTTGTCTGAGTGCCGCATTTGGCCTACGGGCCATAGTTTGGACATGTCTGCTTTAGCTTGACGGTAAGCGGGTACTGTATTTTCTGGACTATAAGTCGCTCCGGCACCAGCCAAAAAATGCTTAAAACATGTATAAGTCACACTTTTTGGGGAAATATATTTTATAAAATGAGAGACCTGGAACCGACATTTCATCTTTAAAGTCAAGTTCTAGTAAAAACAACAGAACAGAGACTTTATATAATAGAGACTGAATATTAAATATTCACTTTATCAAGGTAGATTTTCCAAAAGCTTGCAGTAAGAAGTTAATTTTTTTAATGATGTAAGGTAATTTGGGCCAATTCACCTGGAACCCTGAGGGCCAAGAAAAATTTGTCTGAGGACCGCATTTGGCCCACGGGCCGTAGTTTGGACATGCCTGGTCTATGTAGTTCTCAAATTTTTTTAGCTGTTGCTGCACCAAAACAATGAATTTAAGCAAAGAAACTTGAGGTAGCGGAAGTAGAAGTATTTGTAGTGGTAGTATTAGTAGTAGTACTGACCAGAACCACCAGCCAGTGCGCAGAAACCTTCTCGTGCTCCTTGAAGGTGGTGAGGACAGCCAGGATGAGACAACCCAGGACAATCAGGAACCTGCGGGACATAAGAGACACAGGGACAGTGAGATACATGTGTCTGTGTGTCCAACCAGGCCAAGATACAGGTCAGGTCTGTGGAAAGGCAAGCCCCTGCTCATGGAAAGAATGCATGTTTTTCACGGCAATAAATACACCTGAAACTAAAAAAAAAAAAACACCTGATAGATTTAATTAACTGCTGGATTTCAGATCACGTCACGTCGAAGTCACCAAAAGCAGACAGACGCACAAAACCCCATTTACCTCGGCTGACTCAGAACCAAAATGCCTCATTTCTGGGCAGTTTATGGTCGCTGGGGTAAGCACAGAGTGACCAGACGTCCCAGTTTTGAGCCTGTGTCCCCCGTCCCTGCAGATTTATCCAAAATTCTTCCCAGTTTTATACAAGAAATGTCCCAGGTGTCCTTATTTTTGACCCAATCCCCCCAAAAAAATAAAAACAAAAACGCACCGACATAAATCCCTCAGATTATGACAAAAAAAAACTGAATTAAGAACGACAATGTTACGCACTCTATTTACAATTTTATTTATACAGACCCGGGTGTGTCCCTGTTTTTTTTTTTTTTTTTTCCAACTTTGTTTATTGAACATTTTTAACATTAACAAAAAAAACAGAGTATTAAATAGTACTATTACAAGTATGACAGTAATACAGGAGGACACATCTGAACACACCTCCACCCACTAGACAGACAACCCAAAATAAAAATAAATAACTAAAACATAAGTCAATGAAAATAAATAAATAAAGTAAATAAAATTATAGTAGTAATAGTATTCATAGATAAATTAAATAATCATACAAGGTAAATGAAAATAAATAAAAAAACATAAAAAAAATAATAATAATACAATTGATAGTAGTAATAGCAGTAGTAGAATAAAATATACAAATATATATATATATATATATATATATATATATATATATATATATATATATATATATATATATATACAAGGTAAATTATAAATAAATAAATAAATAAAAACTTAATTTAAAAAAATATAATAATAATGATTTAAGTAAATAAAATTATAGTAGTAATAGTAGTAGTAGATAAATTAAATAATCATACAAGATAAATGAAAATAAATAAATAAAAACATTAAAATAATAATAATAATACAATTGATAGTAGTAATAGCAGTGGTAGAATAAAAATATATAAATATTAAAAAAAAAATATAATATAATAAAAATAATAATAATAATAATAAAATAAAATAATAAATATATAAAATAATAAAAATAAAAATACAAGGTAAATGAAAATAAATAAATAAATAAAAAATATATAATAATAATGATTAAGTAAATAAAATTATAGTAGTAATAGTAGTAGTAGATAAATTAAATAAATATACACTGTAAATGGAAAAAATAAATAAATAAATAAATAATCATAATATCTAATGCAAAAATAAATATATTTTAAAAAGTAGGAAGTCGGGATGTGAAAGGAGGAAAGGAGCCCACAGAGGTGAAAAGTTTACATGGGATAAGAAGAGGAAAAAAGACGGGAAGAAAGGATTATTCCCAATACTTTAGTGATCCTCCAAATCCCGAGGAAGAATTAAAGAGTCAGTGTGTCGTAAAAAGGGGAACCAGCGACCACGGAATATTTAAACAGAGCCTCTTGAGTGAGTTTTGGACATGCCCCAGTTTTGTATTTTGTAAATCTGGTCACTCTGGGTTTGCAGCGTTTACAAATTTACTGCAATGACAAAGAGTAAACACTAGATGGAGCACCACATCCACTTTAAACGTAAACATCGCTCTCCCAGTGTTGGTAAAAACTCAAAAATACTGGGAAAGTTTAGATATATTTTGTCTCATGATAAACCCACTTCACTTGCTACAGCAGTCTGCACGGGTCGGAGCTGGGATTGAACCAACAACCTGGCATGTTCTGGATGTTTACCACAGGACTGTCTGGTCTAATATTACTTAAACTTTCAAATATTAGTTCACTTTGTATTTAAATAGTTTTGGTACAACGGCATCTGACACACAAGGATATAGTAGTATGAGGACTAAAGCAGGACTAAACCAGGGCTAAACCAGGACTTAAACCAGGACTATACTAGGACTGAACCAGGACTAAACCAAGAGGACTAAAGCAGGAGTAAAGCAGGACTAAACCAGAACTGAACCAGGACTAAACCAGGACTAAAGCAGCAGTAAAGCAGGGCTAAAGCAGGACTAAAGTAGGACTATACGAGGACTGAAGCGAGACTATACTAGGACTGAACGAGGACTGAAACAGGACTAAACCAGGCCTAAACCTAGAGGACTAAAGCAGAACTAAACCAAGACTAAATCAGGAATGAATCAGGTCTAAACCAGGACTGAACCAAGAGGAATAAAATAGGACTAAAGTAGGATGAAACCAGGACTGAACCAGGACTGAATCAGGACTAAACCAGGACTGAATTAGGACTAAACCAGGACTGAACCAGGACTGACCCAAGAGGACTAAAAAAGGACTAAATCAGGACTAAACCAGGACTGAATCAAGAGGACTAAACCAGGGCTAAAGCAGCACTAAAGTAGGACTAAACCAGGACTATACTAGAAGTGAACAAGGACTAAACCAGGACTGAATCAGGTCTAAACCAGGACTGAACCAAGAGGACTAAAGCAGGAGTAAAGCCGGACTAAACCAGGACTAAACTAGGATTGAACCAGAACTATACTACGAGTGAACAAGGACTATACTAGGACTCATCCAGGACTAAACCAGGACTGAACAAAGAGGACTGAAGCAAGACTAAACCAGGACTAAAGCAGGATTTAACTCGGACTGAACTATGACTGAACCAGGACTAAACCAGGAAAATACACCAGCTTTACACCAAAAATAAACCAGAACAAGACTAAGACTAAACCAGAACTAAACCAGGACTGTACTGGAACTGAACCGAGACTAAACCTGGACTTAACGAGACTCGGTGCACGTATATCGCAGCGTAATAAGTGGATCCGGAGCCGCGGGGAGGACTTTGCGAGCGGAGCGACCTCATCAGACTCTGACCTCCTGAGTGAAAAACACGTCTCTAAAGCGGCTCAAATCCTGGACTCCCCGGGGCCCCGCAGCAGGACCTCGGACTCCCGCGGCCGGGCCCCAGGAGGCCCCTGTATCCTCTACATCCCATCAGGGCACACTGTACTGTAACTGTACTGCAATATACTGCACTGTACTGCACTGTACTACCGCAATATAGTACTGCAATATACTGCGGAGTACTGCAACTGAGGACACGGCAAGGACAAGCAACAGACAGGACCAGGACTAAACCAGGACTAAACCAGGACTAAACCAGGACTGAACCAGGACTGAACCAGGACTGAACCAGGACTGAAAACCAGGACTAACTAGGACTACCAGGACTAAACCAGGAAGACTAAACAGGACTAAACCAGGACTAAAACAGGACTAGGACTAAACCAGGACTGAACTGAAGGAGGACTAAACCAGGACTAAAGAGGACTAAACCAGGACTAAACCAGGACTAAACCAGGACTGAACCAGGACAGGACTGACCAGGACTAAACCAGGACTAACCAGGACCTGAACCAGGACTGACCAGGAACTGAAACCAGGACTGAACCAGGACTGAACCAGAACTGGACTAAACCAGGACTGACTAGGACTGAACCAGAGGACTAAACCAGGACTGAACCAGGACTGAACAGGACTGAACCAAGAGGACTAAACAGGACTGAAGGACTGAACCAGGACTGAACCAGGACTAAACCAGGACTGAACCAAAGAGGACTAACCAGGACTGAACCAGGACTGAAAGGACTGAACCAGGACTGAACCAGGACTTGAACAGGACTGAACCAGGACTAAACCAGGACTGACCAGGACTGAACCAGGACTGAACCAGGACTAAACCAGGACTGAACCAGGACTGAACCAAGAGGACTAAAAGCAGGACTAAACTAAAAGGACTAAACTTAGGACTAAACCAGGACTAAACAGGACTGAACCAGGACTAAGGACCCAAAGGACTAAACCAGGACTAAAACAGGACTGAACCAGGACTAAACCAGGACTGAACCAGGACTGAACCAGGAGAGGACTAACTAGGAGGACTGAACCAGGACTGAACCAAGACTAACAGGACTAAACCAGGACTGAACCAGACTGAAGGACTGAACCAGGACTAAACCAGGACTAAACCAGGACTAAACCAGGACTAAACCAGGACTGAACCAGGACTGAACCAGGACTGAACCAGGACTAAACAGGACTGAACCAGGACTTAAACAGGACTGAACCAGGACTGAACCAAGAGGACTAGACTAAACCAGGACTAAACCAGGACTGAACCAGGACTGAAACCAGGACTGAACCAGGACTGAGGACTAAAACTAGGACTAAACCAGGACTAAACCAGGACTAACCAGGACTGAACCAGGACTGAACAAGGACTAAACCAGGACTGAACCAGGATTAAACCAGAACTAAACCAAGAGGACTAAAGCAGGACTAAATCAAAGACTAAACAGGACCTACCAGGACTATACTAGGACTGAATCAGGACTGAACCAGAGGACTAACGCAGGACTAAAACAGGACTAAAAGCAGGACTAAACCGGGAATATACTAGGACCGAACAAGGACTATTCCAGGACTGATCCAGGATTGAACCAGGACTGAAACCAGGACTAAAGCAGGACTAAAGCAGGGAACCTAAAGAACCAGGACTAAACAAAGACTGGACTGGACTGGACTGACTAAACCATGACTTAACCAAAACGACTAAACCAGGACTAAAGCAGGACTCAACCAGAAAATATACTAGGAGTGAACCAAGACTATACTAGGACTGAACGAGGACTAAACCACGACTAAACCAAAAGGACTAAAGCAGGACTGAACCAGGACTGAACCGGGACTATATTAGAACTGAACCACGAGGAATCAAGCAGAACTAAAACATGACTAAAGCAGGACTAAACAGGACTAAAAAGACTAC